TCTGGGTCTCGCTGGCACGCCTGCGGCTGAGATCGCGGGGGGCCGGGGGCACCGACGCTAATCTGTCGAGCGACGGAGTCCGCGAACGCACTTGTGGAGCTCGTCTCGCCAGGAAAAGCATGCGACACCCACGGGTACGCGGCCCCGGTGAGCCGTTTTCTGTCTGGCGCATGCCTCGCAGGTGTTGGGTTGAGCAGGCGCCGTGGCCGGTCCACACGACTTGTTCAGTCGACATTAACCGTTACTATCGTTATGTCATCAGCTGTCATCGGAATATCAAAATGGCACCTACAAGCTATTGCACGTTAAGTTTCTAAACAACAGCCCCACCAGCCAGGTTCCCTGTGGGGTGCTTAATGCCACCACCCAAGGAGTGTGTGGGGTCGCCCGGGGAGGGGGGGGTCCCTCAATCGCCCAAGGAGATTTAACGCATCCTGACCCGGGGCCGCCAGGAGAGCCCAGCGATTAAGGCAAACGAGCCCTGACGTTTCTTTCAATAAAAGTAAAAAATGGGCAGATAAAGGGGGCATAGAGATCAGTCAGTACGGACCTGATTTTTTCTGTCGAGGGAGAGAGAGTGCGGGCACACAAGCAGGGGAGGGGCGGAGGGAGAGGGAGAGGGAGAATCTCAAGCAGGCTGCACGCCCAGCACGGAGCCCAGCGTCACGATCTGAGCCAACATCAAGAGTCAGACGCTCAACCGACGGGCCACCCAGGCGCCCCATCATGGATCTGATTCCTAGAGGTGATTCTCCGAACAGTTTCACCGCTTGTGACATCCAACTCCCCGTGCTCGGCACTACGCGGCGAACCTGATGCGGCGGGAATCGAAATGCACGGTACATCCGTCCGGTGCCCCGTGCCTGACCGCCGCCTCCCTCCACCATGGATGTGAGAGGACAGGTTCTTCCCACCTGTGACCGTGGTGTGCCTGATGGGCCCTTCGCCCGCTTGGCTGTTGTGACTACAGACGAGCACGTGAATGTGAAGCCTCGTGTTTTATGAACTGTGAAAAGAGTGACCACAATTATAGCATGAAGGACTTCTCCTTATGGTATTTTGAATAATCTGAATTTCCCAGACAGGAGAGGTTGGGGTGGGAGGGAGCGCGTGTGCACGTGTGTGTGTGTGTGTGTGTGTGTGTGTGTGTGTGTGCGCACGTGTTGCGGCTGTGGGAGTGGTACAGAACGGAAGGTAAGTCAGCGGGCCCAAGTCTTTGCAGGGACCCGTGTGAGTCCCGGGCCGGGCGGTTACGCAGATGTGCACGCAGGTGCACAGACACATCCGTGAATGGACAGACACGCCTGTGACCATTTCTAGCCTCAGGTTCCTTACACGCCTCAGAGTCCAGACAACCAACTCATGGCAGAATCCAACCCATGGGGCACCTCGGTGGCTCAGTCGGTGAAGCGTCCCGCTCTGGCTCAGGTTATGACCCAACGGTTCGTGAGTCTGAGCCCCACATCGGGCTCTGCGCTGACAGCTCAGAGCCTGCTTGGGATTCTCGGTCTCCTTCTCTCTCTCTGCTCCTCCCCGGCTCTCTCACTGTCTCTCAAAAATAAATAAACATAAAAAAAAAAACCTTTAATTCATCGTGATAAGGCTATAAATAGGAGCCGCATTGCGAGTTGGCTTTGGAAGACTTGGACAGATTCCAGACAGGGGAACAGACAGGCACAGGCCCGGAGTCTGGGGTGAGTGGGGCAGGCCTCAGGGAAGTATGTGAAAGGCACGTTCCAGATGGTCTTGGGCGTCTTCGAATCTTTCCTCCCTCACTGCTATCACATCTGTGGGGTTCGCTGACACATTAATACCAGCCCCCACGCGGAGAGGACTTTCTCATGCAAGACGCGGGTCTAAGTGAGCTCATGTAAGCCCCCCAAGCAGCCCTGTGGGGCTGGGGGTCACCAGCCTCAATTTTTCACGGAGGAGTCAGGCACAGGGGAGTAAAGTCAGACCCCCGGCTACTGAGCAAACAGCCATCACCTCTTTGCAACTTCTCTTGTTACAAAGGTGAGCCTATTTTCCCGCTCTGAAATCGGGGCTGGGTTTGTGCCTCCTCCTGGGGCCAACATCATGTGATGGAGGTGACCCTGTGTGAGCTCTGTGACCCCCTCTTGCTGTGCTAAGACCACCATGTGCCAGAGACTGAGACAGCCAGCCAATGGCCAACTACCTGCCACACATGTGCAAAAGCTCATCTTCAATCATCCAGCACCGGTGACCTACTGGGTGGCCCCCGACACACCAGAGAGCCCAGACCAGAACCCTCACCCAGCCGAAGCACAGACCAATGAGAAACAGTGAAACAGTTGCTGTTGTAATGCCACGAAGTCTGGCACGGTTGTTATGCGGCAACAGCTGACTGATACGCTCTGCTACAACTGTCTCTGTATTTTTAATAAATGGCCCTTCCCACGACCTTGATGATCTGTTGTGAACTGGCTCAAAGTTATCTGCTCACCACAGGCACACAGAGAATGCAGAGAAGCTAAGGATGTTATCAAAAGTCACACAGCAATGGTCTAAACCAGGCGTTAGCCACCTCCAGCCCATGAGCCGCATCTGGCCCAACTGACTGTTTTGCAAATAAAGTTTCGTCGGAACACGGCCACATCCACTCACTCACCTACTGCGTATGGCGGCTTTGGGAGCACCAGGGCAGAACTGAACAGCTGAGACCAGACGGCCACAAAGCTTAGAATATTTGCCCTGCGACCACTTACAGAAAAAGGTTGACAACCCCAGGCAAGACCATCTTTGATTACAGAAACCAAGTGATTGTGGGTGCCCCAGCTTGAAAAGCATTTTCGCTCATGGGATACCTGGGTGGCTCAGTTGGCTGAGCATCTGACTCTTGGTTTCGGCTCAGGTCATGACCTCAGGGTTCGACAGTTCACGAGGTCAAGCCCCGAGTCAGGCTTAATGCTGACAGTTCGGAGCCTGCTTGGGATTCTCTCTCTCTCTGCCACTCCCCCCTCTCAAAAATAAAGACACAAACTTTTTTAAAAGAGCATTTTGTCCTATTCTCA